AAAAAAAAAAAAAAATTGAATATTAAGAGATGTCATGTTGTCCCTTAAATCAGTATTACTCAACTTTTGATTCTCAACTTCCAATAAAATTGCTGATCATACTAGCTAGCATGCAGTAGCTAACACAATCCTGAATTTTTTAAAACCGTAAGAAATAGAAAACAGAATAGTATTAGATATTCATCCAAATCGAGGGCACATTCATACTTTAGCCAATCCACACTGCAGTTAGAGTTCTCATAACCCATGTTGACAATCAGTGGAACTCCAATCTCTCTCCATATAGCGTATGCTGGGCCCTTTTCGCGTGAAATAACCTGTAAACACCAATGCCAAATTATGACAGCACAGAGAGAGAGAGAGAGAGAGAGAGAGAGAGAGAAGTATCTGACCATTTAAGTGCATTGCATTTTTTGACATTAACAGAAGATTCAAAATGTCAAGCCTAAGGTGGCAATTTACAGTTACTTACCAGAAGTATCACTTTAACTAACTTTTCAAGAGAAGTTTTGAAACAAAGATTACCCGAAGCATCTACACGGCTACACCTATTAAAGGCCTGAATTTCCTTGTACTACCAAATATCATTTTCAATGGAAAGATTATCACCACTGAACTTTCTCAAAAAATCGAAGTAACTAATATCAAACAAAATATAGGTTAGCTGAAAGCTGATCTGATCAGTGTTAATATTAGTCTTCCGCATTTTGGACCAACACCTCCTACTTGAGGTAATACTTTACAAAAATTATCACAAGAAGCTGCTCAAGATACTCAGTAAGAGTCTGCAGGAAAGCTGGTTATTTAAGAGAAATTCTGAGAGTGAAAGATACGAAACAAACTCGCATAATCCAGAAACTCCACAAAAATTACCCAATTATGTTATAAACCAATAAAATGAGCCCAAGAAGTAGCAAAAGAAAATAGCTGACTAGTTAATAACCTCAATTTCATATCCGATTTCCAGCAATGCTCTAGCAACTGTCACCATAAGTATCTGATGTTGATCGATCCACAGATCCGAGAATACCTACAAATAGATGTTGAAAAACACCCTCTTTTTTAACAATTCTCCAGCTTATACGCTACAAGCTAAATTACTTCACACAAACAGACACAATTGAAATTTTGAAAACAAAACTGCTAAAGCCATAAAAGAAGGAAACTCAAGAACAGGTTTTCATTATTCCCCTTCTGCTGAAATTAACAAACTAAACGAACCAAAGCCAAGCTAAATCAACTAAAATGAAATAACTTTTCACAGTAATTACCAAGGCAAGCTTTGGTTTCCTATACCCAAATCTCACAGCCTTCTCTGCCCCGACACTTTCTCTCACTACATTAGCACCCTTATGAAACTTCTCCATGATTTTCAAAGGCTCAAACTTCAAATCCTCACCAAAGTCCAACTCTTTTAAGAATGTCAAGTCCGCAAGATTCTCCTCATCATCCCCCGATATGAAGTCATGGGTTCCTTTGAATTTGCCAGAGTTATCTCCGTCCTCCGTCACGGAGCCAGGCAGGTGCAAAATCTGGAAGAGGAAAACAAAGAAGAAAAACACGGCCACTCCACAAATCAACTGCAGGTAGTCAATCTTCTTGCAAAGCACAAATCTGGCAAATCTTGATCTGCTGCTCCTGCTGCTGCTGTTGAAACTACTGTTGCTGTTCCTAAGGGACGAAGAAGAACGCAGCAAATGGTGATCCCTTTTCGGCGACGGCACGCTTTCAAGAGAACCCATTTACATGCTCATCAAGAAAAGGAAAAGGGCAGCTGAAAAAATCGAATCTTTACGGCTCTATTATACAAACGCACATCTGTAAATGTGTTCATCAACTGTAGCTGCACCCATAATTCTCCCTCAAAATATGGAAAAGACCAACAAAGAATATAAAAAGACGGATCTTTTAGGGAGGATAAGATGGTGGGATTTTGATTTTCTAATGGTTTAAGACCAAGAAAGAAAAATATACGACCATTAATCGGAGCTTATACACAACACAGTGCTAAAGTTTTGGCCTTTTTTTTTTATTATCTTTTCATTTCCTTCCACAATAAATCCTTTTTTTGCTGTATTATTAAAGAAGTCAAGTAGATGCCTGTGAGTGTGTGTGTGTGAGAGAGAGAATGGGTGAGGATAAAGTCATAGAGAGAGAAAATAGGGAAGATGAATAGATTTATTGGAGGGCATGCGGCTACTGACCTGGCAGTGCGGTCTTCACTGTCAAAGCCCAAAAGATTTATTTGTACACGCAAGTGATAGAGAATGTGTAAGTATAGGATGAGAGAGAAACAAATGCTCTTCTCTCTCATTTTGGCGAGAGAGAGAAAAAAAAGACTTATTCACTGTGAAGGGTTTGTCTGGTTAGAAAGATAATTAATTAATTTAACTAACTTTATTTAAATAGTCAAATCTGGTCATAATTTTTCCACTACAGCCCAATACCGTGATATGTAATCTTCTTTTTTTTATCTTTTTTTTTTCCTTTAATAACTAAATATACACTGGTTGTAGGGATGTAAATGGGTCGGGTTGGGTACGGGTTTTGGCAAACTCGAACTCGACCCACATATAATTTACTCTATCCAAACTCGACACGTTACCCGGCTAGTGATCTTTGGGTTCGGGTTGGGTTTTACCCGACGGGTTAGTGGTTTTCGTCGGGTGAACGGGTAACCCGAGTTTTAAATTTGAGTTTTACCCGAACCATTTCGTTTCATATGAAAAAATAAAATAAAATAATTTCACAACTAATTATAATGTAAGAAATAATTTATTAACTATGTTTGACAATAAAAAAACTATAAATAATTATATTTTTGGAATAAATAATGAGTATGATTTATCTTTTATAGTCTATTTAATATTATAACATTTAAAAATTATGTATTTAATTTTTTTATTGTACTGTTAAAAAAATGATTATAAAATTATAAAAAATAAAATAAAATAAAATTTAATCATTAATCAAAATTATAATAGATAATCTAATTAGTAAAAATAAAGCATGACTACTTTTATATTTATTATAAGTTATAAATATATATATATATGTATGTATGTATATATATATGATTCAATGGTTGCGGGTAAACGGGTAGGGTAATCGGGTCAGGTAATGGGTTTGCCTACTATACCCGTACCCAACCCGACTAGGGTTCGGGTAGTATAATTCCACCTGAAACCCCATTATATTGGGTTTACCCGACCCAAAAATGCGGGTAACCCGCGGGTAACCCGACCCTACGGGTTCTATTGACATCCCTAACTGGCTAGCAGACGCGGACTTTAAGGACAACATGAGTATAAACTACGGTCAAAGGTCAACGCTGGAAATCAGACCAAATCAATATTTAATCAACTAAAAAAAATAAAAAGATTAAATTTTGACCAAACACCTAGTTTGTTATTTCTTATTTAATAGCTAGAGTTGAGTCTCTCATTCCTAATTACTTCTTAGTCAGATCTTAGCTATCTTAAGATTTCTCTTTATCCACTTAAGATTCCTTTTTATCATTTATAATTGTTTATCCTTAGGTAGTGATCCTTTTTTTAGAACATTTGCTCCGCGTACTACATCGAGCTATGAGGTAGGTTAAATCGTCATTGGGTGATAGATCGGGTTCTTCCAGATACCCTCAATTCTATTCTTCCAGACGCATCAGGCCATAATGTGAGTTAAGTCGCCATTAGGTCTCTCATTTCGTCTTTGTGGCTCTTTGGTTGATTTACGTCGACCTCAAGCTGTCACGAATCTTTAAGTTGCTCTTACTTTTTAAATGCTCTCCTTAAGTCGACCTATTTCAGGTCGACTTATACTCCGATCGCTTGACTCCGTCCGGTCTACGCAAGTATGGCTATATCATCTAGTTCCCTCTTTCTCCCTACCCACCCAAAAAACAAAACGAAAAAAAAAAAAAAAAAAAAAAAAAAAAAAAAAAAAAAAAAAAAAAAAAAAACTCTAAGCAACCTCGAGCATAGAAGTAAATTGGTAATCATTATCATCTAACAAGTCTGACATTTGTCATAAATGCATATTTGAAAAGACGTCTGCGTCGCTTCATATTCCGACTCCACAGTTGTTGCGCTTGATCTGAGCCTTTTAACACATCTTAATCCAAGGGTTCTCATTACAAAGGTCAAGTATAAATACCTCCATTTGCGTTCATTTTCATACGTTTTATCTCTAATATCCACAAGCTTAGAGAATTCCAGCACCTCCCAGCGTTTCTCTCAACTTCGGCGTACCTCCTTCAAATTTTAAATGAACTCCATCCTCCTTGACGATCCATCATGAGTAAGTTTTCTATATTTTTTCTTAATTATTTCTTCATTTTTCTGGGTTTGAGTTAAATGTCTTTGAATGTTCTTCGTGTTCTTAGTGACCTTCATAATCTTCATGCTTTTTCTGGCAAAATATGTTTTGATCGTGTGAGTCAGTTTCATATTTTTTGCAGATTGACTTAGGTAGATGTGTCTTTCTTAGATTCAACTATTTTAGTAGTCTCCACTTGTTTGTTGTGACCTCGACTTAGAACCAATTTCCTTTTATTAATGATGAATCTGATCGCGACTTCCTATCTTAAAAATGAACCATACAGATTTCTCTCCCGACTCGGTTAGTCGTTTGGTCGACGAGGCCCTCGAATCTTCTAATTCTTATATCCAAATAATAGACCTTGACGTAGCTCGTGATCAGGGTAATCCCTCGAGAGTCGGATAATGACACTACTGGGAGGTCGACTGCGAGGACTATAATCGTGCTCTGAGGTCGAGCTCCCCAAATGATTCTCCTTGTTTTGAGTTAATACATCGAGGTATTCCTCTTAGGATATTCATGTATATATGACTAGTCCTACTTCTGCCCCAATAATTGTTCCTCTTTCCAACCTATACTCTTGTTGTAACAATAGCATGTAATTTAGCTAGAGTAGCCACTCTGAATCCCTTTTCTTATGCCCCTGCAGTCGAGCTTGCTGGTTTAAGTCGTAATATGAGCTACCATCCGATTGGGATCTGATTGCTCCTTGTCCCAGTGACGACTATTCTCACCCTCATCGAGGCTGTTACATCTTTTTTATAGATCAAGTGATGTTTGGTCTCTGCTTTCCCATCCAACACGAGTTGATTACCCTTAGCAACTTGTACCATATTCCCGTTAATCAGGTTGCTCTAAATTCTATTCTCCTTATGGTTGCCTTCATCATGATTTCTAGAATAAAACTTCGCACATTTTTAGCCGAATTTTTCTTACACTATTACGGTTATAATTTTACGAAGGGGAACTATTATATAGGCCGCCGTAGAGGGGCTATGTTTTCAGGTGATCTTACCTTGAACGTGACTGAATGGAAGTCGAAGTTCTTTTTTATTCGTCCTCCCTCTGGATATTACTCTTTTACAAACAACTAGTTAACCAAGAAGGTTAATCAACGTAGCAAATTGTGATATCCTCAATTAGCATGAATGGTAAAGGAGTTGAATAAACACACTTAGAGTGCTCGACAGATGGTAAAGGATCCCACATTGTGATACCAATGTGGCATCACTCACAAGAGTGATGCTCCTATTGAACTCGACCTTGGTAAGTCGTCTTCTTCCCTTATCTGTGATTATTTAATCATTTGTCCTCATAATTTTCTTTTCTCGCGGATTCGTATCTTTAGAGATTCGAGACGAAAACATAAAAAAACCACCAAGGGTGAGTACACATGTCGTCTTTCTTTGCCCCAAAAAACAATCGGGCGACTCTGTCTCAAGCTCTAAGGAATCCGTGGTCGGGAAGAGCACATGTCATGCCTTGATAGCTGGGAGTTCCCCTTCAAATAAGCCTGTTGTCTTTTGCTCCAAGTCAAGGAAATGGTTCCTAATCAACGGACCTTCAAGTTGTTGCTTGACGAGGCTAAACGCCAAAAGGGTAAGGAGGTCATGATTGAGTCCACTTCCCCTTCCCCTATCCGAGTCAGGCCAGTTACTCTCAGCCCCCTTGACTTCACAACAACAAGGATGGTCACGAGATTATGAGCTATCTCCTCTCTGTCCTTCCCGAGAATGACAGAACTCGCCTCGAGATCGGTCCTTATGACCAAGCCTACTAGGGTAACAATCACATTTATCATCCTTATACCATCTTATCGAGGTCGTGATTGTTGTTTTATTTTTCTTTGTAGTTCCTCGTAGCTATTCTCTCCTCCATGGTGGAAGATACCTTTTCTCCTCATTCCAACATGGAAGCTTTATGGGAAAAATACCATGCGAAGGTGAAACAGCTCGAGGAGAAGACTAAGGAGCTCGAGGTTGCCAAGGTTGAAATCATTAAACTGTAAGCTGAAAAAGCCGTGGCCCTTCAAAAGCTCGAGAAAATGAGGGTTAACCTTAAAAAAGCCCATGAGGAGAGGGTAGTTAAGCTCTTGGCGGAGAAAGAGGTTGGGATTCTCGAGGGACGCAAGTGTTCTTGAAGTCTCCAATTGACTCTCTGTTCCTCGAGACCTATCGCTAAGAGGTCATCGAGCAGTTTATCAATGCTCTAGCCTTCCTAGAGTAAATCAGCTCTCCAGTACTTCAATTGTATGTTCAACGCATGGGAGTAGACTGTGGTCAAACCCGACTTTTTAGGCCACTTCGACCGTGACCAGGTTAGGGTCGGTCTGCCTCGCCCCGACGGGTACCGGGATGACCCGACTCTACCTCCTGAACACCCGTGGTAGGACAACCTCGTGGCATGGGCCATCCAAAGGACG